TTGCAACTATTCATTCAGGAATGTTGCTCAAATTTGGCACAGCTGTGTATTTATACTTGGGAAGAAAAACTTGGAAGCAATTAGCAACCACAAAAATGATTCAAACCATTGCAAACTATATTTCAATGAACTATCACGCTTCCCTGCTTAGCCTAGCATTTTCAAACCTGGCATCTTCCAGAATCCAGATGTACTGAGATTACAATTCCCAGAATCAATCCTGATTTTGAAAAGGGCCAGAACAGATGCAAATATAAGCTGAAATTATGAACACGGTGGTTGCTTTTTGTCATCTCATCCCAAGGTCCTAGGCAGACAGCTTCAGCTCAGATACAGAAGCAAGCAGCTTATGATATGCCTGAGAAAGCAACAGGCAAAAGAAAGCAGCTTATATCATACAATTATATCTTATAGCTTATATCGATTTCAATTACTTTGTAAAAATGAAAGACGGCGGAAAAAGCCAGTATGGCTGCATATAAATTAGAAAATCTGGGTGAAGGACATACATACACACACACACACACACACACACACACATAAAAATATCAAAGCTTAAAAAAACAGAGGATAGCTACTTCACAATAATACTTGTGAAATGATCTTGGAATATTAGTTGACTACAAATGGAGTATGAGTCAGCAACATGGCTGCAAAAAGATATGCAGACACCACAGAAATATAGGGTCTCAAATTATTGAAAGCAATGGTTCCAATTTGTGTTAAAAATCATTTTAAATATTGTGTCCAGTTCTTGGCACTAAACTGTAAGAAAGGTTTGGACAAACTGGAGTAGGTTCGACAAAGGCCAACAAGAATAAACAAGACTAGTTCAACAACAACAAAAAAAAAAAACCCAGTCAATTTTAAATCATCTTTTAGTGCTACCGGTAATACCCATCATTTATTTTGCTTTTATTGACTGTAAGCCACCTAGAGTTGCTTCTTGGCAAGATGGTTGGCATATTACTTATTAGCCAGTCAGTCAGTCAGTCAGTGAGAGAGAGGGAGGGAGGGAGGCAGACGGATGGACAGATATTGAAGGCCCTGACTATACTTAGCCTTGAGAAAGCTGAGAAGGGATAGGTTAGTTCTCTTCAGATTGCTCCAAGGATATTATTATACAGAAGCAGCCCAGGACTTCCTTAATTTCAGAATGCAGGTTACCAGGTCTGAAATAAGTCGGAGAAAGTCAGATTCCAATTGAATTTTTTATATAGGCAGCCATCCATGGAGGGTGCTTTAACTGGAAGACCTGCACCATCAAGAGATTGGACCCAGTGGCCTAGAATGTTTCATGAGGAAGGAAAAGCTTTGCTGAGGCCTGTGATGCGTACTCCACCCAGGTCACATTCTGGCAGCATAAATCACTGGATTGCAGCAAAATGCAGCTGAGTTCACTGCCAAGCCTCTAACATCACAGCTCATCTGATACCCATAAGCCCACCATCAGAATCACAAGAGGCTTAATCGAAAAAAAGGAGGTAAGGATATAAAAGAGAAAAGTGTGTCCTAACCAAGATGGATGATGAACGGACCGATACCAAAGAATGTTTCAATCCAGAAGTCTGAAGCTGGTTGCTCTTTAATGCCCACGTACCAGGGTCTTCCAGAAAAGATCAAGGTGCCATCTTAAGGCACAAAGTCCCTCTTCCAGATCCATGACAGTGGTGTTAAAAACAGAAAGACACTTCGTGCTTCGTTGCTCCATGGCAGGGCTTTAAGGGGGATCACCAGCACCATGAGCTGTACCGGCAAGCAGACTGGCAATCAGTGCACGGAAGAAGTGACACATGGGCTACTCAGGTGGGAAGCCGGGGTCCCATCAATTAGCGATGGCCATCTGGTAGGACCACAAAAAAAGGGCCTTCTCGGTGGTATGGAACGGCATTCCCCACGGGATTCGGTTGCTCTCCACCCTGTTGCTTTTCCAGAAGTTCCTAAAAATGTGAGTGGGTCAGGGGGACTTCCAAATGGACACAGAGCCCATCAAATGATTTCATTGTTGTTGTTGCTGTCGTTTTGGGGCAGGGGGGCAGTACTTGCATGCATCTATGGGCTTTTATTCTATGGTGGGTTTTTAAAAATGTCATTCGGAGTCATCTATGTGTGAGTTGGGCGGCTATAGAAGTTTGTTTGATAAATAAAAATAAACCCAAGGCTGAACCTCTCCAGACTCTGGTGCCTGCAATGGGGCAGCCCAATGGCAATTTGCAGAGGGGCTTTGTCACTCTCTCTCCAATGAGCCAAGGCTCCAGAATTCAATTACAGGGACATCCTCGTAGGGTGATAAACTCTGTGTCCAGTCATGTTCCTCCACTCCATATCTCCTTCTCTCTCCCTCTCGCTCTCCCCCTCCCTCCCTCCCTCAACACACATTTATCTCCATCTCCATTCAGCAACATCCGCTTCACCCCACCTTCCTGCCAGTGCCCTTGCTTCCAGTAACTTCATCTCCATCGGGGAGGTCCAAAGCTGTGCTTCTGCTTTTGATACAATGCCCACCGGAGCTTCCAACTTCCCCCAAAGCAGAATTAGCCCGTTCCCTCCAGCCGCTTAATAACTGCTATGGCTGTCAAGCTGGAACACGCCACCCTGGAGTGACACAACAGCCAGCCAGCCACACACCTGGGCCAAGAGGGAGCTGGCGTGCTTCCTCTCAGTGGCAGCCATGATGTCGGCTGAGAGTCGATCCACTCAGCCTGCGGGCCTCATCGTGTCTCCCCTGACTGGAATGATTTGGCACGGGGGGGCCCTGAATGAAATCCACCATTCTGCCTCTTCTAACCTCAACTGACCGCTTGCACATTTTTTTGAAAGCACCCGCTGGAGGAAAAGCCATTTCTCTCCCTTTCAGCCAGGCCCTGAAACCCAGGCCCTGAATTGCATTGGACCAGAAGGCCTCCGAGATCCCTTCCAACTCTGTGAATGCAATGTAATGGCTCTCACTCCAGTGCCTCCTCTTCTCCAGGCTCAACTGCCATTTATCACCTCAAGGACCTCCAGACCACTGCCACACTTTGAGCCTTGGGAACCTCCACAGATCATCCCAGTTATCGTTTTGATGGGCGTATTGAAAGCACTTCTATCCCCAGGGTTGGAAACCGGCTTCCAGAGGGGCTAAGAGATAAACAAAAGCAGACAGTCTGTGCCCGCAGGCTTTGGCTTGCGGCGTAAAAGGAGATGACACACAAGGAAAACAAGTGGGGAAGAAAAGAGGAAACAAGAACATTGAGCAGCTAGTTCTTAAGGTTATGTCGCTCTTATAATAGCCTGTTATGAGGCACGTAGACTATTTTGTGTGCTTTTAAATACTTTTTATTAGATCTCATCGCTCAATATTCCACTTGACTAGACAGTAGCTAATAACACCGTTAACAAGCAACCGATAATAACCACCAATAAAACAAACCAGCAAATATCAGATTAAAGAGATTTTCTTCCAAGGGACCTTACTATACAGCAATGGCTGTAAGCACAGCAAGACCTGTTCTATATTCTCTAATAATACATGAAGCCTGTAATTCATTCTCTCTCTCTCCCTCTCTCTCTCTCCCTCCCTCTCTCTCTCTCTCTCACACACACATGAATATCTAGTCCTTCCAAGTATATGTACAAGTATTTTATCTCAGTACTCATCTGAGCAATAAACCTTCCATTTCCTAAGATGTCATCAATCATAGTCTCTTCTCGGCCATGCAAGTTCATTCCAAGACCTAATCAACATCTACAGTCACTCCCGCACCCCATAAAAACCTGAAGAGGGGCACGTCCAAGCCCTCAACAGCCATGCCATCTTAGCAACCTTAATCTTGGTCCCTGTATAGCTAGTTTCCAAAGGCAACTTTTGAAGTTACATCCCTAAGATGTGTTAACCATTCTGTAAATAGTCCCAAAGGTACTTTTCCAAAAGGCAACTGGACTTCCCCTCCCTTGAAAACGTTTCGTTCCTCTCCAAGAAGCTTCCGGAGAATGAACTGAAGAAGCTTCTTGGATGAGAAGCGAAACGACTTCAAGGAAAAGAGCCTCGGTGGTGCAGTGGTTAAAGTGCAGTACTGCAGGCCACTTCTGCTGACCATCGGCTGCCTGTAATTTGGCAGTTCAAATCCCACCAGGCTCAAGGTTGACTCAGCCTTCCATCCTTCCAAGGTGGACCAATGAGGACCCAGATTGTTGGGGGGGTGATAGGCTGACTCTGTGAACCGCTTAGAGAGGGCTATAAAGCGGTATATAAGTCCAAGTGCTATTGCTATAAAACAAAATCAAACAAGGAAGTCCAGCTGCCTCTGGAACAACCATGATGATTGAGCATGTCCAACCTTTTAACCAGCTCCAACCACAAACAAACTGGAACAACCTGTCTACTACCCCCCCATCCAACAAAACCTCCCCTTGCACAGCTGTGATGGTACCCCTGTCCCCCCCCCCAACATCCACCAAGAACCACAGGTTGGTCCACCCCCTCAACCCCCCACTATTCCACATCAGGAGATGCCAAACACTCCAGCCTATCTTCTCCTTCTCCAGCAATGCTGCCTTAGCCCTCCCCGAGTCTTTCCCCACCGCTACCCCAGAGTCATGACCCCCCTCCAGCCACCTATTTCCATTGCTAGCCAGCCCCCGCTTCCCCACCTGATGGACCCCAGAAAGGTTAAATCCCCACCTCCCATCATCTCATCTGCCATGTTAGCACTACCCTTGGAGAGCCCCCAATAAGGCCCCCAGCTAAGTTGGCCATGGATGATGGGATGTGTGCTCCCTCCCCTGAGGGATAGAAGCAGCCCCTCCCCCCCCCCCCCAAAGTTCCTCCCCCTTTTTGCATGCCTCCTTAGCTTAGCCCCGCCCACACGGAGGTCGCTGCTCCCTGCCAACCCGGCGCCCCTCCGTCTCTCTCTCTCATTTACATATTTTATTAGCATGCCCGCCGCCGGAGCCAATCAGGGCGCTCCGAACACTCGTTTGCATACCCGCCTCCTCGGCGGTCCGCCCTCCCCACTCACCCCTCCGCAGGGCCTCGTCGTAGGTGAGGAAGCCGATGCGCGACTCCTTGTTGCCCATCGCGGTCTCCTCAGTCCATGGCGGGCGGCCGCTGCCGCCTCCGCCCGTGCCCCGCAACAGTCGCTCGCCTCAGGCGGCTGCCGTCGTCGCGGCCGCCGGTTCGCCTGGACTAGCAGCAGCCGCGGCCGCCGCAACAGCAGCGCCGCCCCCGCCGACTCCTGTGGAAGATGTTCGCCTCAGCTGCTGCCGCCGCCGCCACTACCTCCATTCCGAATCACGTGACGTCGCCAATTAACTGACCCCTCCTCTTCTTTCAAAGCTCGGGCCCGCCCCCTTGGCTTGTCACTCGTCTCTCCTCCCCCCTCTTCCCCCCTCCCGCCGGAGAACGAGAGCTGTTCGGCCAGCCCTCACTTCCGGTGCGAGGTCGGCCGCGCGCAGGCAGGCAGGCAAGCAATGCGCGTGCGCAGACTCGCACCAAATTTTCTTTTTTTCTGAGTTTTTTAAATCTATAAGAATGTTTTAAAATATATAATGTTTTTATACTTTTTTTAATTGTTTTTTTTTTTCACAGAACTATTGGTGGAAATCTTTCCTCCGTTCCTTTTTAAAGTTCTCTCACTTGGCAGTAAATATAGGGGTGAAAATAATGTACAGAATAGTATACAGATGGAAGGGACCTTGTAGGTCATCTAGTCCAGCCCAAGCTGGAGACTCTATTTCTGACAGGTGGCAGACGTAATAAATAGCACTGATTAGTTTTCTATAAGACTGGAAATTTACCTCATAATTTCCCGGAGCATTTGAGGAATAAATATATCCTGTGTGGCCCCTGTCAAATTATATAGGGACATCAACCAATAATAACAATTTGTGTGGAAGAGAGATGTAATTTGGATTATGTGATCTATGCATACAGGTAGTCCTTGACTTACAACAACTTGTAGTCCTTGACTTACAACAACGTGAGCTTTGACGGCACTGAAAAAAAAGTGACTTATGACCGTTTTTCACACTTATGACTGTTGCAGCATCCCCACGGTCAAGGCATTAAAATTCAGATGCCTGGCAACCGACTCATATTTATGACGGTTGCAATGTCCTGGGGTCATGTGATCCCCTTTGGCGATGTGACAAGCAAATTGCATGGGGAAGCCAGATTCACTTAACAACCATATCAGTAACTTAACACCTCCTTAACAACTGTGGCAAGGAAGGTTGTAAAATGGGGGCAAAACTCACTTAACAACTGTCTCACTTAGCAAGAGAAATTTTGGGGCACAATTGTCATTGTAAGTCAAGGACTACCTGTAACAGAGTTGGGAGGGACCTTAGAGGTCTTCTAGATCAACCCCGTTCAGGCACTACCGTTTCAAACAAATGGGCTGTCCAATCACTTCTTAGAAGCCTCCAGTATTGGAGCATCCACAACTTCTGGAGACAAGCCGTTCCACCTATTAATTGTTCTAACAGTGAAGACAATTAACCAGTGGAACAGCTTGCCACCTAAAATTGTAGGGGCTTCATTCATCACTAGAAGCGTTTAAGAAGAGACTGGACAGTCGCTTGTCTGAAACAGCATAGGGTCTCCTGCTTGAGCAGGGGGTGGACTATAAGACCTCCAAGGTCCCAGCTTAATTCTGATTCTCACTGTCAGGAAATTTCTCCTTAAATTCTCGGATGCTTATCTCCTTGACTAGTTTCCATCCATTGCTTCTTGTCTTGCCTTCGTCTGCTCTGGAGAACAGGGCAGCTCCTCAAATATTGGAAAACTGCTACTGCAATATATTTTCTGTTCTCTCTCAGAAGAGTGACAATGCCAGATTCAAACGACCTTCGGTTGGAAACCTGAAATGTGCTTCTCTCGCTTTAATCTTCCCTTTGCACTGATCCAAAAATAGCCCCGCCCCTCCAATCTTGCTCTCCTCACGTGACATGACGGAGGACAGCGGGTACTGTCGCTCCTTCTATAGAAATAATAATGTAGAGTTACCCGCAAGTGCCCAAACCAAAATATAATTTCCTTCTTGTCTTCTTTCTATAAAAAAACATAGATATACATCCCTGCCGTGGGGGGAACACATGACTCGCTGCCACCATCTGAAACCATGCAGAGTTTTAATTGCAATTTTGAAGCCCACCAATCTAACCTCTATGACGTTTTCATGGCAAGTATTTGGCAGTAATTGATGAGAAGCATTTCGACCATCTATCTTATGTAGGGAGGAGCCCATACAGATAAATAATATAATAGAGGGTGGAGAGTATCCAAATGTTCCCCTTTGAAGGAATTTTTTTTGTACTAGAACTAATGGCAACTTGATCACTCTCTACATATGCCTGGAATGCACTACCTGACTCTGTTGTTACATCCTCTAATCCCCACTCCTTTAACCTCAAACTAACCACTATTGACCTCATCCCATTCCTAGGAGGTCTCTAAGGGACGTCCATGAGCGCGCTATCTTGTCTACTGTCGCTGTCCTTTTGTCCCCATTTATTCGTACCTATTCCCTGTATTCTTACTCATGTTTATACTTATACCTATTATCTTGTAAGCGATTGACAAATCAAATAAATAAATAAAATACTTTATTTTTTTATTTTATTTATTTTGTCAACCAATTATAAGAACAGGTATAAGTATAAACATAGTTATGGATACATGAAATGGATATATATAAGAAAAAAAGAAACAATAGGACAGGGACGGTAGGCACATTGGTGCGCTTATGCACACCCCCTACAGACCTCTTAGGAATGGGGTGAGGTCAACAGTAGACAGTCTAAGGTTAAAGTTTTTGGGGCTTGGGGAAGAAACCACAGAGTCAGGTAGAGTATTCCAGACATTGACCACTCTGTTGCTGAAGTCGTATTTCCTGCAATCAAGTTTGGTGCGATTAACCTTGAGTTTGCCTCTATTGTTTGCTCTTGTATTGTTATGGTTGAAGCTGAAATATTCATTGACAGGTAGGACATTGCAATGTATAATTTTATATACTATACTTAGATCGGATGGAAGGCGGCGTAGTTCTAGGTTTTCTAGGTCTAGAATTTCAAGTCTGGTGGCATAAGGTATTCTGCAACGAGTAGAGGAGTGGAGAACTCTTCTTGTGAAATATTTCTGGACTTTCTCAACTGTGTTAATATCAGATAGGTAATGTGGGTTCTAAGTTCTAAGCTGTATTCAAGTATTGGTCTAGCAAATGTTCTGTATGGTCTCGTTAGTAGTGTGATATTACCAGAGAAAAGGCTACGTAAGATTAGGTTAACAACTCTTAATGCATTTTTGGCTATGTAGTTACAGTGGGCTCTAGCACTTAGATCATTAGAGATGACAACTCCAAGGTCCTTGACAGAGTTTGGATCATCAACAAAGTCTTGACTATTCAGCTTGTATTTTATTTTCTGATTTTTTTTTGCCAATATGTAAAACAGATACATCAGTGTTTCTTGTAACTTGAGGCTGTGTGAACTTCAACTCCCAGAAGTCCCATAATACTAGGAGTCGAAGTCCCCATCTCTTAAAATTATCAAGTTTGAGAGATGCAGCTGTACATCTTAGCATCTGTATTCTGAATATTGCAACTGTTCTACCTGTGTGGTTCATAAGAGTTGACAACAACTGGATGGCATATGATCAGACTACCCAAAAAATTAAAATCTATCATTAAGCATACAACACATTTAATTTCCTTGTACAAAGTGCAATGACAATAAAGTAAAGTAAACATCCTATCATACTCACTGATCTTTTTATTATCTTGATAGATTGCCACTTTATTAATAAATGAATTAGGGGACTGAAGGTTAAAACATGCAAAGAACGGTTACAGGAATTGGGTAGGTCTGAAAAATGGTTACGGGAATTGGCTATGACAAGTCTAGTGAAAACAAGGACCAGGGGAGACATGATAGCAGTCTTCCAAAATCTCAGGGGCTGCCCCAAAGAAGAGGGAGTCAAGCTATTCTCCAAAGCACCTGAAGGCAGGACAAGAAGCAATGGATGGAAATTAATCAAGGAGAGAAGCAACCTAGAACTAAGGAGGAATTTCCTGAAAGTGAGAACAATTAATAATGCTTTAAGGGTCGTAGTATGAAAAATGGTCACTTTTTTCAGTGTCATTGTAACTTTGAATGGTTGCTAAATGTTTGTAAGTTAAGGAGTACTGTATGGATTGAAAAACCATATGGGTATGTCTTGTCCTCATCTATTGTCACTTCCAGCATAGTTGCAAACCATCATGATGAAAGGATGAGAAATGCTTGTGTCTCAACACTGAACATGAGAACATAAATCATAGGGTTTCCATCATAATGTTGCTAGGCAGGGTTCATCGTGCCCTCCTCCCTTCGCTTCCTTCCCCTCCCAGATACTCACAGTAGCCCTCAAAAATGATATTTTATTGAAAGCTGGGATTTTCCCAACTACAAGGAAGCATTTTGTTTAAACCATGTTAATTGTATTTTAGCACCTCTGCTGGTTCTCACAGGCACCTCTGAGCAAATGGAGAACTGAACTTGGGATAAGAGAGGAAATGGCTGAGGGGAGGCTTGCAGAAAAGATGACACAAACCAGAGAAACTGGGAAGGGTAAAAAAGAAAGTCAAGAGAAGAAGTCTTGCTTGATTTTGTACAGTATCAGAATTACAAGATCCAGAGTTATGGCCACAAGTGGGACTAGAATGGCAAAGCAAGGTAGTCGTTAAGTGAGTCATACCTGACTTTATGACTTGTCTGCCATAACAAATCTGTGTGGTTAAGCGAATCATTGCAATCTCTCAACAAATCACACAGTCATTAAGTTAACCTGGCTTCCCCTTCTGGCTTTGCTTGCCGGAAGCCTGCAGGGAAGGTCATAAATGATGATGAGATGACCCCAGGATGCTGCAACTGTCATAAATACATGCCAGTTGCCAAGCCCCTGTATTTTAATCACATGACCATGGGGACAATTGTAAATGTGAGGACCAATTCACATAACAACTGCAATTGGCTTAACAACTATAGCAAAACAGGTCATAAAATAATTACAATCAATCCTTCAACTGATTGAAAGGTTAAAATTCAACGTTGTCCTTTTTTTTAATCACCGCAATTCGGAGCCTTTCCGTCACATGACAAAATTGCTTAGGCTCTGTGATGCTGTATAAATCTGGAGGAAAAAAAAAGAGAATTAATTTGCGAGAATGTACGGCCATGATCCAAAATGTGTATTCAACTTGTAGCTTTTCTTGCCCTTT